TTTTTTGATTTTGTCAAAAAAAAAAAAGGAGATTGAGGTAGAAATAAACTAATTCGAACGATGATTGACAGCTGTTCAACCATATCCGAATGGATAAAAATTCACGCCGAATGGCAAACTTGTGACCATCTCAAGCAGAAGACCTACGACAATAAAAACGAAAAGCGCTGTGCCAGACATTTTTCGTTACGAGTTTTGTTACTGAGTGGATTTTCCTCTTTTTGGTCGAGTTTTTTTTTTCTCTTCTTCTCCCGGTTGCTCTGTCGTTTATTTATGAAATTGTTGAGACGAGCGTCAGGCGACATCCGTCTGCAAATCCAAATGATCGTCTGCTGATGCCGTTGCATCGTCACATGTGCTGCACTAAAACGACATTCTATTTTGGGAACGCATTTTGTGGCATTTCTTCCCAATCTGCTCTGTTTTATTTCCATTGGATTCCTGTGTCTCTTTGTGATTTTATTGCGTCTCTTTGCTTAGATTGGCCGTCAAATGCAATTTGTCTTTTGATGACGAAATAGTTGCTACGTTCCGTTCTTCGATGAATTTGATTGGCCAAAACGGTTTAGACGACTCTCACTCTCCCATACGGTTTGGAGTGTAGCAAGAAAGCAGAGTCTTTGTAGTTGTGGATGGGGACAGAATGCATAAAAAAATTAAAAGCATGACCACAGAGACATTGCTGATGATGGAATTTTGAACGATTGACAATCTACAGCAAAAAAAAAAGAAGCGATGAATGGACAGTTTCAATGGATTGTCGATGCATTTGTAAAATGCAATTTAATCGTCTTTGTGCTGTCGTCTGTCATCCGAGAGAGAAAAACACAAATTCACCAATCAATGATTCGGTGATTCTTTGTCAACGATCTTTTGTCCAAACACAAAGAACGGCACACATATGAGCGCTGTCGATTTGCCATCAATTTATGTGGGCATCGTGGCAAAATCGGTTCGAGCCAGTTGAAAGGCACATATAAAATGCCATTAACCGGTCTATATTTAGGCAAAATCCTAAACCGCTTGAGCTTCACTGCACGCTTGTACCGCAATATGTGAGACAATTCCGTTTTTATGTTGGCCTGCAACCGAAATAGAGACATCGGCCGACGTTTGATTCTTTTAACCTTGACGGTAACGCCCATGAAAATGCAGAAATCATCTGATCGAAACACATGCTCTGTATCTGCTGAAGCGCAAACATGCGGCCGCGTGCGCGCGTTCGTTCGAGCGACAACTTGACATGAAAGTGTGGTGTATTTTTAGCTGATTTACATGCAGTGGTAAAAAAAAATCATTGTAAATGCTACTTTAAATGCGTGCTTCATTTCAAGCGAGATTTTGTTCTGGCTGTTGATCCCAGGCGACAGATATTAATGATAGCGCGTCGCATGGACTTTAAACTGGATTTTCTCTTCACTCGATGTAATCTTCGGGGAATCGGATGGGCAAAACAAAAACACGAAAGAATGCAACGCGTGCAAAAAAGTGGATTCCATCGAAAAAGATTTCAATATGCGATTTTTGTGCGTTTGATTTTTATTTCGTTGGCTTGAGTCATTCATTCTCTCCGCAAAAAAAAATGTGTACATAAAACTTTCCGAATCGACCATGCATTTTTGGAGCAAAATTCCTTAAGAGGTTTTGTAGATGTTTCGAAAAACTTTTGATGGCACACTCGGTCATTAAGAGGAAAAACCAAGCAAAATTCCAATGCTAACGAGACACTCACACATACACTGCATCGAAATGCGTTCGAATGAACGTATGCAATTTAGAGCGAAAAGCGTTCGGGCATTTGATATCATTTTTGTCGGCGACATTATTATTATTTTTTGTGACCATAGCGCTCATTTATTAAATAAATTTGCGTACGAAATGCCATTTAAAGTATACAATGCAAATACATGCAAATGCATTTGCAAGAGCCAAAAAAAAAAATATGCACAGATAAGGAGCTAGGAGGAAGCAAAGAATTTAATATATTTTATCTGCATTTTGTAAATTACGCGGGCAGCACATGCAGAGAGGGAGAGGAGAAAACAGGGAAAAAAACTGAAAGGCACAATCAGTAGTTACGCAAATTTCAATCCTTTCGGTTGTGCAAATTGTAACAAAGACAGAACGAGAGCAAACCAGCGAAGAATGAAAAGAGAGAAAAAATGAAACAAACGCAAAACGAAAAACAATACCAAAAGCAGATTTACATAAATAATATTGAGAAATTCAAGTTGGTTTCGCTTTGTCTGTGTGCCGTTTGAGATAAGAAACTGTGCAAAATTGCCACATAAATTTCAAGTGTGCTTAAACATTTAGCCACCGAAAATTGCGTGTAACTTGGTGGAAAACGAAAATGTTCGCCGCTATAATTATAAAATACCAGGCCAATTAACCAAAAAACTGGTCCACATAATTTTTTTTCTTTCGCAGAACCATTTTTTGCTCTTCTTATTTAAACAGTTTTTTTAAAGCCATTTTCTACTTTGAAAATAATTGCGTTGCGAAGGAAAACCGATTTTGGCACTCAACAATGGGCGAATCAGCAAACAATTGTATTACTTTGCAAAGTACACTCGATGACATAATTCACTATGTTTGGCCAAACAAAGTGAAAATCACCACATTTCGACCCTTGATTCTCGCACGAAAATTCTAAACCAGGCAAAAAAATAAACAATTTAAATTAATAAGTGAGCTGCGCGCTGCGGCCAACGCCAAACTAATCATAATTTCTTTCACTTCAACTGCTTGATTTATTTGGCCATTACAGTGGGTATACCGTTGAAATATTGATGACTTTACACTAGCAATTTGCTTGTATCGAACTAAAATTACAGTTGTTGGTTTCTCGAGAAGAAAAATTTACCGTTATCGAGTCATTTGTTGACTCGCTCGCATGGGCGCCTGCTGGTTGTTGTTTCTGTTTCTGTGTGTGCGCTGTGCGCGCGCCAACCAATCCAAACGCAACTAAAACAAACAAAGCACACTCAAACAGTAGGCAAATAAAAACGAAATATAGGTTAAATAAAGACTTTTTTTTATCAGATTTATTACAATCAACTTATCGATTGCAAACCGATTTCGGTTCATTTCCCTTCGACTCGATTGTCGGGATTGTCGACGAAATGGATTTTTTTTTCTTTCGGCCGTGCCGTTTCTCAATTGCCTTATTATTGTGAGCGCAATAATTTATTTCTCGGTGCTTTTTTAGTCGTCCATTACTGAGTCCGAAGAGTATCGGTATATTTATTGCCGATATCGTATACAATCTTTGTTGATTCAGTTCTTACTGCAGGGAAGATAAATAAATTTCTAAAATCAATCGATCGGTGCGAAATGTGCTGTGCCGCTGTTGGGTGTGTGTCTGCAATCCGTTTGCCTATCGAACGGAAACAATAAAAATTCCAATTTGACCGCTTCCATTTCACGTGTTTGATCTAGGAACAGCAGTGGGAAGCAGGCATGACAAAAAAAAAACACCAACGAAGACAACGAAGACGAAGACACAATGTTCGCCAAATGAAAGGATGGACAAAAGATACAAATCATTCATTGAGATACACTGAAAATGTCTCGCAAAGTAAACAATTATTCATAAGCGGGTATAAAAAGAAATCTTTAGAGTTTCCTGCAATTAAAAGACTATGTAAACACACTGAGAGGAAGTCTTATTGATATCAATCGTTTTTGTTCTTGTTTTTTCCCCTTTTGCTCTTGCTTCGATTCTTCTGTGGCCGAACATTAATATCAATAATGCTAATCGAATGCATGGCAAGAATGCTGATGCTGATGTGCATCGAGAGAGAGAGAGAGAGAGAGAGAGAGAGAGAGAGCGCAAGCAAAGCATCACCTGCGCGCAATGTATTATTATGCCTTGTCATATGCTTCATAGAATACAAATATTTTTTATTTCAAGCAGCTTCAAGAAGTTAAGCGAAAGGTAAATTGTCGATTCGATCGAAACAGTAAATATCAACATTTACCTCTTCAACTCTCGAACTAATTCGGACAAAAGGAATCAACAATTTTTTTTTCCTCTCTTTTCCAATGATTTCGTTTCTCTTTTTTCTGTGCTAATACCTCAAGTGTTTTTAGTTGTTCGTTATATCTCACTCTATGTGTGTTTGTGTTTAGAGATGCTGCTGAGAACACTATTTCGCGTTCGTTTGGTAGCAGGTTAGGTGTCATGACCAAGCACTGAACCATTCATTCGTTTAAAATTCAATTCTCGAGCGCTTTATTGAAACTTCTTACGTGCTTCTCTATTCTCGTGACTCTACTCTTTTTTTTCTCTGCTCTGCCTCGACGCATTCGGCTACAAAAAAGTACGGTGCGAATGACCAAGCACGAATTCAAATAACGAAAAATAAACATTTAGTCAAAAATTTAAGCAATAAAAGAGGCGATCCAGAGCCCAGAGAGATAGAAAGAGTGAAAGAAAACAGTTTTGAATCAAGTGTTTATTTACTTCAATGTGTTTGCTCAACGAAAAACGGTGAGATTCAAAACAAACTGTTGCGTTTTTTTTTCTCTTCCATTCTCATTTTGTTTGAATAATTTCACAATTTTATTTGTCGGATTATCGGGTACAATTACAGTGATTTCGTTGAAAAAATGATGCGTGAATATACGTTGTTTTTTTTTTCTCTCATTGAACAAACACGATTCTGGAGTGTGATGGCATTCGAGATGGGCAGTTGAAATATGAATTAAAAGGATTGGACATATTCAATTGATTTTTGTTCGATTCCATTTAAAATTTTCACTTAAAAAAATGCACACCAAATTAATTCCGAGCTAAATGTATGTTAATTTCACTGAACGCATCTCTTATTTACAATTTGCAGATTCGTTCGTGTTATTTTTCAACGATTTTTTATTACAAATTATTATGAAAGCAATATCAAATGGATAAAAAAATACATGCAAACGCCCCTTTCACATAAAAAAAAATTCGATTTAAAATAATAAATTTTATTTTTCTCTCTCTCTCGTTACAGTTGATACATTGAACAATGCAATGAAATCATAACAACGTGGAAAACGGCAAAGAGTGAGAGACTACAGTGAACAAGACGAACGATAAAATTGACCAACAACAACGAGAAAAAAATTATTCGAAATAATCAAATAGAGATAAATTATTTTCTGAACGAGATTATTTATTCATACGAGCGGGAGGAAAATATATATATAATTTCCACAAAATCGTTACGTGACTGAATTCGAAATTCAAACGAGCACGGGATAACGATAACGAGCGAGCGAGCGAGCGAGAGAGAGAAACATTACGAAAGCAAACGAACGACAGAGAACAAAAATGGATTTATTGAAGATATTTTTATTGATGGCAATTTTCGTGCAAAATTGTTGTTGCGATTCAGCAGATCAAGCGTTCACATTGGAACCGGAAGATCAATCGGCCGTAATCGGATCGAAAGTGTTGCTGCAGTGTCGCGTCGAACATAAACAGGGCGTTTTGCAGTGGACTAAAGATGATTTTGGTCTTGGAACGGAGCGGAATTTAAGCTTAAGCGGTTTTGAACGTTACACCATGATTGGCAGCGATGATGATGGAAATTATACGCTGCAAATCGATCCGGTCACACTTGATGATGACGCTAAATACCAATGGTAATTAAAACTTGAAAGCAAAACAGTGAACGGTGTTTTTAGAAGGAAAAAAAATATACATCATCTGATGTTTTTTTTCTTCTTCTTCTTCTCTCATAAATTGCAGTCAAGTGAGTCCAGGACCACAAGGGCAGAAAGAACTTAGATCTGAATTTGCAACACTGACAGTGCTAGTGCCACCAAAAGCGCCGCGTATTCTTGTTGGTGATTCACAGAGCGACTTCATGTTAACTACCGAAAACACAGATATCAAATTGGTTTGCATTTCGGAAGAAGGCAAACCGGCAGCAACGGTAAGAATAATGGCGAAATGTGATTTAAGCGCACGCTTAATCAGATTCTTTCTCACTTCACTGGACCCGATCAATCGAACAAACGATAAAAACGCGTTTTTGTCATGTTTTACACACAGTTGACTTGGCTTGATAGCGATGGCAACCCAATTACGGAAGGTGTCGAAAAAACAAAGGAATTATTACCAGATGGTAAGCTATTTACCGTGAAATCAACGCTTCGAATGCCAGCGAAAAGTGAGCATCACAATAAAACGTTGACGTGCCGTGCCAGGAGTGCTGCCGATAAAACGGCGAAAAAAGCTTATTTCAAAATTGAGGTAATTGGATTAAAGCGAATGTTTTTCCTTGTATGTTGCTCTCTATCTCTGTCGCCTGTGTGACGATTCGGGTTCGTTACCCGAACACACGAGGCACGAGATTTATGTGTGTACTCACTAACCAAATCGATTATGATTTAACACGATTTTCTTCGGCTTTAAACACACAATTCAAAATACTTGAATGGGCATTTTTTTCTGTGCCTTTCTGTGACTTATGAGCCGAAAATTGATTGATTTCTCTACTTTTCTCTCTCTTTCGTCCGTGCCATTTTTCTCTATAGGTTCAGTATGCGCCCAAAGTGAAGCTTTCTACTTACAGCAAACTGGCTCCCACTAAAACCAATTTTAATTCGTCATCGGCGTCAAAAGTGAAAGAATCATCAATTTTGGATGGTTCTGAAGTACATTTCAAGTGCGACACCGAAGCCAATCCAAGCGATGTACGAATAAAATGGTTCATAAACGATACACTCGTTATTGGCGATTACACGACCGAAATGGTAAAATTTTTTTTTGTTCTTCTTCTTCTTCTTTTCTTCTCGTCTTCTCAGCCGAGAATTAAAAAATGTATTTGAATTGCGAATTTAAGTTGGAAACATGTTTGAACGGAAATCATTGAATTTAATTTACTTTACTTTGCAGGCAATTTATTCGGTGAATCGAAGTCATCATAATGCGGTGGTCAAGTGTGAGGCAACAAATGATATTGGCACAACCAAAGACGAAACTACTTTAGACGTTCATTGTGAGTATTAAAAAGTTATGGAATTGAATGGAATGATTTTTTATCCACTTGAGAAGAATTAAATTCTAAATGGAATATTTATTGCGTTTTAAGATCCACCATCGTTTACCGAAACACCAAAATCGGTGGAAGCGGCTAAAGGAGATAAAGTCACCTTGAAATGCGCGGCTGATGGGAACCCTCTGGAAATCGTCTGGATACATACCTCAATCGATGGGGTAAGCATGACATTAACATTTTAAATTGAGCTGAATTCGATTAAATGAAGAAAAAAAAAATCACGGTTAATAATTGTTTGCAATTTCGTTTCCAGACTCCAAAACTGTTCACAGGAAAGAAGAATCTTGAACTGACCATTTCAAGTGAAACAGCCGGTCGTTACGACTGTAAGGCCAGTGTACCTGGTTTCCCTGAAATCAAATCGTCCGCCGACGTGTTTTTAAAAGGGCCTCCGAAAATCACGTCAAGCCGCCAACAATACGGCGCGGTTGGCGATACAATCCAATTGGAATGTATGGCCATCAGTATTCCACGCGCTCGGCACATTTCATGGAGTTTCCATGGTCGTGAAATAAACGGAAGCAGTAACCCAGAATTTCACATTTTGGAAGATCCCACCGACCAAGGCATCAGTTCGAAGCTCATCATTCACAACAGTCAAGCATGGCATTTCGACAAATACAACTGTTCGGTGGTCAATGATTACGGCACCGATGTATTGCAGGTGGAATTGTTGCACAGTCAAACGGTTTGGCGTTACGTAACATCGACGGCAAATTTGCCCATTTTCATCACAATTGCCATAATGACGGTTGTCATTTTGATGGTAATCGTGTGTTTTGTTTTCATTAAAACAATGGGTCACAAAGCGCGCCAAGTGAAAAAGTCTGAAAAACAATTCATTCCACATGACAATTACATGCTGAACTACTCTGATGTGAGTATTTTCTATTGATATTGCAAACAAAAACCCCAAAATCCATTACTCTAATGTCCAATATTCGATGAATTAAAATGGTTTTTCGTAATTTGTCTAATTGAAAACAGGAAAACTCAAGCACGGACAAATGTTGCAAAGATAGTGATCGATCATCGCCGAGCAGCGACTACAAAATCAAACAAGGTTCATCCGAATCCAATTATTCGCTTCCGTCGACCGTTTCCGACAACACACTGCTACAAATCATTACGAACAATGTGAATGGAATCCCCTTCGAAAAACCTGTTGCTTACAGGTAAATATTTGTCTTATTGATTTGATGAGGCGAAACACTTTTCTATTTTATTCATGTCAATTTTCAAATCGATTATCCATTTTCCATCGCAGGAAATCATTGAACTACAGTGATGATGATGCATATTACAAGTCCAAGGACGCTCACAACTCATACGGATCAATTACGGCAATTAAGAATCGGTAAGCCCTTTGGAACAGCTTGAAACTTGCTCACTTTCTTGAAATTCAAAATTCGATTTGCATCAATTAAATGGTTTTCTCTTTTGTGCACAGAAATTCCTTGGACTACGACGACGATAGATATTACATAGCCAACAATTTACGGAACAGTCATTATGCATTGCATCCGAATCCGAGCCCAGTGCAGAATCCATACGTTCAAAAGCCAATTGTCGTATCAAACTTTCCATCCAATCGACTCTTGAGCCAAATGAAACGTTCATCACCTACCAATTCACCGACAGATCCAAAACAAGACGTTGGTCTACCGCGTAGCAGCATCGTCTAGCTCAATTCAATTTAAGAATCAAAGCACTTATCAAAGAGCAACAAGTCCAAAAGTCAAAGTCGAATGCGTTCAATTTGGATTTGAGCCGATTGGTTTACGTGAACACGGAACCAAATGCTCTCATCAATAAATTTATGTACTATTCATCGATTGTATCATAAATGAGAAAAAAAAAAAACGAAACGAAAAAAAAATGTTGCAGCGTCAATGCGATATTTAGATAGAGATCTCCCTGAATCATTAGACAGAACGATTGCATTAAAAGCGAGCTCAAAATGTCACATCGCGGTCAGATTAAAATGCTATCGATGGTATTATAAATTATTCATAGTGTCCAGTCGATTATAGAAAATGAATGGGCACACAGTCGGGCTATCGCTGCAATTGAGCTAATATAGTATTAGGCAAAGAACATTATGACATCTTCATTTGAAATCATATATTAATAGCAATACAAACAGAGAACAAAGGAGAAAACAAATAGCAGCAACGACAACAAAACACACAGCTATACATCTATTTTAATCCTTATTCATTTTATAATATCCATTTAGCCTAAGATTTATTCGTATTCGGTCATAAGGATTAGGTTTTAATGCTATTGTAGTCTTGAATTTTATTTTAAAATGATTAAGTGCTAAACAATACATCGTAATATGTTAAAATTCCATTCGTTAGCTTATAAAAGGAATTATTTCTCGTTTTAATACAACAATAACAACAGCAAATCGTTTCTAAAGAGCAAAAAAAAATAAAATTTGTATAACCTGTGATATAAATCATTGATCCTTGTAAATAAATGTTAATCGAATTTTTTTCTATAAACATTCTTGTCTTCGCTCGTTATTCCAATTCGATTCAAACTTTTTTCTTCACTTTTATTTTTACTCATAACGAAAGTATTTGCAAAACTGTGTAAATAATTTTATGCTTTGCATCATTTTAATCAATTACTCATTATTATTATGATTGACGTCAATTTTAGAATCATCGGTAGCGCTAATTAGCATCGATAGGAATTTAACTTGTTCAACTATAAAATAATTTACACAAACTAGTAATGAATGTATGCATCAAATCAATACACACAACTTAAGCGAAACAACTTGTACAACATACACTTTTAAATAATAATAATAAAAAACATATTTCTTCAAAATAATTTAAAGTGTTTATTTTTTATTTTTGAGTTGGTGGCAAACTTCTTTTGCAGCGTATTCGATTCTAGTGAAAAGTGGTGGAAACTTTTAGAAATTGACGATAAGTGCAACTTGACTTCAAACTGAATATTCAATGATTGAGTTTGATTTGTGGCGGAATTTTGTTGTTTCAACTCAATTAAAGTAGCTACAAAGTTCTTTGGCCGTTTAATCCTTTTTCGATTGAATTAAGTTGAAATTCATGTTGCAACAGAAGAATTTCATCATGCTGCACACAAAAGAAAACATATCAAAAGCTTCAATTTCACTTAAAAAGTTCCAAAGCATTACATGCATTGTCCATTTTTGTTTGGCATTCGAAGTAGCTCAACTGAAAATATCAAAATCAATATTTTATCAAAGGAAGACTTAGTTGGGTGCGCGCTGAAGGCGAGAGCTGATTTACCGATAGCAAAATGAATCCTTTTGTTCGGACACAACAGCACATAATGATGAAATTTATTTTCAATTTCGGAAATCGTATTTATACACCGATTGTTGTTGTTGCTGCTGCTGCTGCTGCTGCTGCTGATGAAGATGCACTAAAATTAGAGTTTCGCCTTTCGTCTCGTGAACGTTGAAAGTTTTTCTCATCGACCAGACTCAATCTTATTGGTGTGTACTTAAAGCACACAATTTCGTTCGGTTTTTGCTCTCTCTCTCTCTCTTTCCCACATATCCAAACGGTTGAGTGCATTATTTGAAGTTGTCTCATCGTCTTTCGTCTTCATATCATTCGGAAAAAAGTCCAGAGAACAACGAGGAAAATTGAAACATAAAAATAAGCTTTGTGTACGCTATTTTTTTTTTCTTGCTTCGTTCATCGTGTGCCACATCACTTCAAATTCAATCAATTTCGTTTAAGCTCTTCGATTTTTATTTCATGAAAGCACACAACCGATTTCAAGTCGATGGTTAGCAAACCGATTTTTCGGGAGTAAGATTCATCGAAGAGAGAGAGAGAGAGGCGCAATGAACACATCTCAAAACAAATCAATTTCTCCTACATTAAACATCTTCAATTTAAAATGTTCTCCATACGACCATAGAAAAAAAAATGTTGCATATCTGTGACGATAAAATGGTATTTGGTTCCATACACCACCATTTACACAACCCACGTCCTAATTCAGAAACACTTTCGGTATCGGTTTTGCCCGATGTGTGTGTGTGTGTGTGTGTGTGTGTGTGGAGGTAGACAAAAGAATGCGACTCAATGCGACAAGATAGCATTAAAAACTGGCATTAGCTCGGAAACATGGATAACAAACCGATACATCAGCGTATAGGAAGTAGGCGAATAAAGAATGAGTTTGGCATGGATCGAAAAGTTCCCTTCAACCCAAAATGCACCGGGCGACTGTGGGATAAAAACTTACTATGGCTCAACTAGCGCTATTCCAATGGCCATTGAATCGTTTATGTCATTCACTCGATGAACTTTTTTCATTCGCTCTTTCTCTCTTTCCAGATAATTGTGTATAGAATTTTTCGTTTCGTTCCATTTCCTTCTGCACAATTTCCGTTATAAATCTCGAGCTTTAGTCTGATTATACAGGAAAACGAAGTTGTTATCTCGACATTTGGCCGTTATACATGTATTACAATGTGTGTGTGCTCATTCACCACGTTCCCAATGGTATTGCGCCCAGGAGTCAATTTAGCAGAAAGGGTGAAAAATGATCTACACAAATAGACAAATATCGACAGCGGGCGATCGATTGGACGACTTTTGGTAGCAAAAAAATATGGTATATGCACACAGTGAAAACAGTTATTAAAGAGTACCTTTTTCATATAGTTTCACTATTGACTTACACATTCATTGCCTACGTTCACACATATTAGAATACATTGAATGAATTATACGCAGAGTTTCATGTTCTTTTTTTTAATTTTCGGTAATGGACGCAACGTCCACGATGTACGATGTAATATGTCATATTCATACTCATAGTCATGCAATGTGACCTAAACGCACTTGTATGTGCCTGCACAGGCGACAACCGTTTCGATAGAAAAAAATAGCACAAAAAAAAGAATACAATTCCAACAAGATTCGTATCGATTTTGAGTCAAGTGTGTTCGTAATTCGTTCAGCTGAAAAGTTTTACGATGTTATTTGAGTGTCATTAGATGAATTCACCAAAAACATGTTTGCCTGACGTGACATCTTACAAAATATTTCGCTTATCACAAACACGTGAAGATAAAACTTTTACTTTACTTTTATCGTAAAAAATGTCATTAGCAGCGAACAAACGAGCAAACCAACTTACGAAGCAGTTTCATTGATTGTGAAGAGTCTTTTTTTTTGATATGTCAAACGAGAAACAAGACAATTATTCCAACAATTGAAAGAACTATTTGAATGTGTTTTGGATGGGCTCGTGTTGTTGTCATTTTTGATGAACTGGACATGTATTTCGTGTATAATTTATCTTATCATCTGAAAACTACTTAAAACATGAGTTTGTTGCTCAGGCCCGCGAAATTTATTGAATGGCAGTGACTTTGATTTTGCATTTCTCCGAATTCTTTGATTAAATTACTTTTTATTTGAAGAAAAGTACAAGAATTTCTCATCATTTCATGAAATACATATCGAATAATTGGTGGCCATTTAAAGTTCAAATTTACTTTCAAACCAGTCGAGAAGAAGGATGCAGAGCACTGAGCTGTGTTAATAATGGAATATCAAATAAGCATCACTTTCCCCCGAGAATGTTCGACAGAAATTTACTTTGTATTGATTATTCGAATGGTGAAAATCCCTTAATTACAGGTGTAAGTTGAGAAGTTATTGAGTCGGACACTGAAGAGACACAGTGAGTGAGTGTGTGTGTGTTTGTGTGGAAATGAGAATTTTTTCTTTAATTATGTGAACTTTCCATCAATTCTGTGCACCGACCAAGTTGAATAAATGTAATGCAATCCGATTAAGGCCTTTGCCAACTGCAGAATGCGAGTACATTGAATGGTCTTTCAATTTATTAGTGCTGGTTAGCAATTGTTCGTAGCAACTCTTACATCATGCACAACATTTTGTGTGGAAGTGGTGTGTTTTTTGTGCTGTCCATTGCATTGAAATGGAAAATCGGAGAGAGTGGAATAAGTTCGCGTGAAACCATTCAAAATCACAAAGTTCATGTTGGACAAGTAAAAGACATCCAATGTATAAATGCCCATTATACCTTTTGCATGCATATATATAAAATCACAACAGGCGATAGTGAGTTTGCGACGCACCACCTTGAGTGTGTATGTACAGAGAAAATGGAGAGATGCAGAGAGAATAGAAGAGAGAGAGAGAGAGAGAGAGAGATAGAGAGCCTTGGCATTTATATTTCCGATGGTAACGTAATTTCAAAAAGTGGTTATTTTGTATTTGCTTCGTCCAGTTTTCTATCCGTATTCATTTTCAAACCGAAAAGGCTTCTGTTTATATTCCACCTATAAACAGACGACGGTAGAGTGGTTTACAAACGTATCATTCAATCTGGAATGGCATCGGTTTCGTTGAATTTGCAAAATAAATTGAAACTGCATCGAGGCGGTAAGTTTTAGTATAAATAAAAAGAAACCATTCGTTCAATACAAACAGCAGCACCACCAGCGGCGACGGCACAAGACATCAATCATTTGATATAACAATTTAAATAGACAAAATAATGAACAAATCCTTTACTTATTGGATTTGCACTCAATGAACATGCCCGTTCTCCGTCTCTCGGCTCCAGACCAATATATATAGCTCGTATAAATGAGTTCTGTGGTGCGTTGCAAAATTGCCAAAGCACTAAGCACAACTTGCTGTGTAGAGTGAACCTATCAAAACAGGATTATTTAGTATTGATCAAAATTCGAGTAATGTTTTATTTGTGTTGTTATTGTCGTCGTCTTCTCCGTCTTGCTTTCAACAACATCTGTGGTAATGCACACGGCAACAAAATAGCCAAATGTTTATTTAACTACAAAAGATTCGTTATCCATTCTCTTCAGCGTTGCAGTTAAAATTCAGTTGTGAATTTTCATTTGCTTTTAATGCCATTCGTTCGCATTGCACAACAATTCGTTGAGTACGATGGAACGAAGGAAAACAACTTATAATTGCAAATCGAAATGAAACGAAATTTTTTTATCTACAATCGAATATGTCATTTTGATGATGCTCGATTGCGTACAGTCCAACATACAATCGATTGATGTGGTCGTGGTGCTGGGGTTTTTTACTACTTGGAATGGCCATTCAATGTTTCTTAAATCGATAATTTTCTTGTGAAAATGTGTGTTTGGTGTGAACACAAAATAATGACAAGGGTTTTATAGCCCAACAACGTTGAATATAAATGCGACGCGTTTTTTTCAACACGAAATTTTCACAATTACAATGAACAACCATTCAAGACTGGCATAGACACATTCTTCGTATACTTGTGGAGGTCAAATGGTTCAGCGTGAACCAAATCAAACAAGAACGAAACGAAGACAAGGGAAAAAAACGAGGCAAAACACCCAAACAACCATAATGTGCAAGGCTTATCGTCGTCGGCTGGAAATCGTCAAAGGGATTCAAAAATCGATGTAAAATGAACACAACAGAAAAAAAAAGTAAATTGAAGAAACATTTTCAACATATTGCACACACATTGATATTACGATAATAAATAGATCCTTTAGTTATATTTCAATAAAATACACATTTGCGATCCGAAGAGCAAAAGAAATGCGACAGTGAGAAAACACTTGTAATGGTGGCAGCGATAAACGAACGGGCAGGCGGACGAACGGTTGAATGAATCGACTCAAAGAGAAAATATGTGTGTGTATATACTTGGCAAATATTTGAAATTTATTCGACTTTTTGACCGTTACTACGACACTAAGTTGTGGGATCAGGTTGGGTGGTTTTCTGTTTTTGTACCGTACAAGGATTTCTTTTACCGCACAAAAACTCACT